GAATGCCGTGCACATGAACTGTTCCTGACCAATCTTCCATAGGATGAGTTCTGTTCAACCAAGAAATCCCTGGGGAAGCCTTGTGAAAGGAATGATAGTGAGCATTTAACTTATTGATCAGGTCTAGGATCAGAGCGAAGGCAGAAGAAGGGCAAAACAATAATATATGCATTTTATATGACAAAGTAGAAATGATGCAACTGAAAATGAGAGTAGAATTAAGAAAAGGGAGCAAGCTCCCTGAGTATGGCTCCAGTAATAGTGGGGAGTCACAGAATGCCATTAAAAACTGACTGATGAGATGCCATGGGATAAATAAGAAAACAGAGACTAGAGGCATTTAAAAAGCATAAGCACAAAAGGCAACTGATTGGACAAAAAGAGAATAAGAGCAAAAAAAGAAAAAAAAAACAAGACCAACTATCTTTGTAAAGAAGAAACTATAGAAGATGGAGTGAGGGCATGGTGGTTGACATGCTGGACTCTCACATGGCCAACTGTGGTTCAAGTCCTGGACCTGGTGGCTTCCTTTCTCACTTTTCCTCTCCCTCTCTTTCTCTGTCTCTCTCTGATCAAATTTTAAAATAATAATGATGATGAATAAAATTAAAAATAATTCTCAAAAAAGATATAGTGAGAAATGTATAGAAATAATAGTAGATACTCAGTCCAAGACAGATCAAATGGACCAAACTTAGATAAGACTATTTATTGGAATATGGCTGAAAGCACTTAGTGGATCTTCTGGTACATTTCCTTGTGTTGGACAAGTGAGTCTATCCACGTGGACGTGGTGGGATGCAGCCCTGAAGAAATGGTGGAATCCAGACCTAGTCTCCTTGCACCCTTTCGGGCACATCATGTCAACAAGAGCTGTTCTGTCTTCTGACGAGAGACAGAGCCTGCAGATGGCTGTGGGGAAGGTTTCTGGAAAAGGCCTTGAAGTGCTGGCAAGTGGACTGCACTGCTCCAGGGTCGATGGTCCCAAGGGGATATCCATGGGTCCCTGATAGGAGCAGACATTTACTCTGGACTGCATACTCACTAGTAGATACAAATGCTCAAATCCTATTAAGGGACTGGAATAGAAGATACCATACCAACGTGGGTCACTAAGTTACATTTCTTTAGACCAAAGAACACACTACTGCTATAGTGTCTAACGGCGAGGAAAGACATTTCAGGTTATGTTGCCTATCATCCTCAGAGTAAAAGTTCAATAGAGAATTAGAATGGGCAGTTAAAACATCTGCTGTCGGGGCCAGCAAGTGGCATGGTGATCAAAGCACTGGACTCCCACATGGATGACCATGGTTCGAGTCTGGGATTGGTGGCTTGCTTTTTTACTTTCCCTCTCTCTTTATCGCTCTCTGGCCAAATTAATATTAATAACAAATAATCCCTTTTTATTACACATTTTTAAAATTTAACTTTATTTATTTATTTACTTTAATTTGACCAGAGAGGAAGAGGGAGGGAGGGAGGGAGAGGGAGAGAGAGAGGGAGAGAGTGGGAGAGAGAAAGAGAGAGAGAGAGAGAGAGAGAGAGAGAGAGAAAGCAAGCCATCAGGTCTGGGACTCGAACCATGGTTGGCCATGTGAAATCCGGCACCCTTAATCACCATACCACCTGCTGACCCCCTAAATAAAATAATTCTAAAAAATTTACTGCCTAAAATGGGAGGAGATAAAGGCATGCAGAGCTGGCTGACCCAGTTTCACACTCCACATATGGGGGCTTAAGGGAGGGTCTCCACTGAAGAGATTTCTCTGCACTTCAGTAGGGTATGAAGAAGAGGGGGTAGAGGGTGATGCTGGTGGAACTATGCAATTCTTCCCCACGATCACCTTGACTTTCCTTTTTCCTACCTGATGCAGTGGTTCCAGGACTAGGGAGTAACTGTGGGTGTCAGAAGTGTGGATGATTTAAAGCAAAAAACTGTAACTATAATTTAAAACTATGTCAGAATTCCTGAGATGGGGCAGGTTGTGCCCCATCTAGCAAAACCGGGGTTAACAATGCATGTAGCTATACGGCCTGGTGGTAAAGACAGCTCACTGGCTCTGCACCTATGTAATCTTGCCCTATCTGAATGGCAGGGGGCATGTGCCGCGTGGGGGTGGGGGATATCTGATAGCTGGAATGACTACCTAGAGCACAATGGTTGAAGCTAATGCCCTCTCCAAAGGTGGAAATGGCCAATGGGCAAAAATGGAGAAACAAAGAACTGAGGGTACCAGAATGAAGAAATGGGTTATAGAGTGACAGAAATCCAATTAA